GGGGCGGGGCTGGGCGGTGGGGCGTGGTGAGTGGGGCTCACCACCACACACCCGGCCGAACGCCGGTCCCGAGCCGAATGCCTCTGGCCGGGTTGTCTTCCGAGCCCGACGTCGTTGAGTCGCCAGCTCTGTGCCCGCCGCGGGTCGCGGTCGCGGTTCGCGTGGTGCGGGCGCCAAGCACCGTCGATACTCCCAGCCAGAGGGCCACGGACAGCATGGACTGTCGGTGCGGGCTCCATGCACCCTCTGCGATCTGCGCTGGACTCGCCAGAACACACGATCAGCACTCTACGCCACCAGTTGCGGCAGCCCAGCCAAGCGCGGGCTTGCCGAAGCCTTTGTCCTGCCCTGTCTATCGATGACCCGCATCGGGAATAATCGCCGATGTGGTGTGGCGACGGACTTCCCCGGCGGGAAAAGAGTTGATGATCAGTACGAGATGGGGATGCCCCGCCTGAATTTACGACTATGCCAGACTGTGGGCACGCTGCCAACGGGAAAAAGGAGGTACATGCGTACATGGGAAGGCGCAGCCGGTCTCGGGTCCCAGTAGAGTAGAGAGTAGAGTGGGGATTGAATATTTTGATTTTGATGCTCGGCCAAAATGGACGAGTATGTCTAGCCTACTTAGGTAGGTTTGGTCTGAGACACCTACCCGAGTACCTACATATCCTATGTCGCCCACTTTTCCTGCTTATGTACAGAACACCCTTCGCCAACGCCCAGCCTTTCTGGCGAAGGAAGGCTCTGTGAAAAAAACTAACAAAAAGCTTTGTTTTTGGTGAGCATAAGGCAGTTTTGTGTTTTATTGTCATTAACAAAGTATCAGATCTACCATAAGTAATCAGTCTTCTTTACAGCGCCTTTTGGAGGTCGCGGTTGGCGACACGAAAGTCTTTTGTATTTTGTCACCATACATATCAATCCGCTGGAAGGCTGTTCGTAAACAAGGCCTTCACAAAGGCGCAGCGAAAATCTTCTGGGAGGCCATGAGTGGTCACGAACTCGCTCCGCCCGGCGCTTCCCGAGGTCAAGGAGGTCGTGTGGCCAGGACATTGACATTGGCCGTGTGGGTGGTGGGACGGTAGGACAGGTCAGTGCCACGGGCCGCGCGGCGCCGGGCGAGAGTTGGGGACCGCGGCATGGGCCTGGGCCAGGGAGGGCGTCGCTCAGGGCTCCAGGTTCGACACAATCCAGGGCACGTAGTACGTGAGCCTGGTGTACACGCCAGGGGTGCCCTCGGTGGCACAGTGCGACGGGCCGAACGAGACGACGCCGTGCTGGACGACGCGGGGCACGCCGTCGATGTAGCCGGCCGTGGTGAGCGGGCCACCCGAGTCGCCGTTGCACGAGTCCTTCCCCTTGTCGCCGGCGCACATCTGCTTCTCGGGGGAGATGACGAGCTGCAGCGGCTGGTAAGCGACCACGCAGTCGTTGGCGGGGGTCACAGGTACCGCAACCTTCATCAGAGTCTCGCTGCTAGTCGCTGCAATAGAAAGCACTCCGCTTAGGGTCCGAAGCTTACCTCCCTCCAGTGGGCTAAAGGCTTTAAATTCAGTGATTTTGATTCAGAACTTTCATAAAATGGTATAGACGAACTTCATGGAATTCTGTGAACTGCTTAAACTTTAACTAAACTCCATGAAATTCTTTGAGCTGCATGAACTTTAATAAACTTCGTGAAATTCTTTAAACTGCACGAACTTTGACCAAACTTCATGAATTTATTCGACTGAACTTCAAGAATTGACTGGCCAGCCGAAACTTACCTCCATTCCTGTTGTGGACCCGACCCCAGCCGGCCACCTGCACCTTCTTGCCGGTCAGGTCCTTGCGTCGCTCGTCCCCCTCCACGGGCAGACACACGGGCTTTACGGAGTCTGACGACAACAAACAATAAAAAGATGAGCGTCATGTGATTGGCATATAGCGAGACAAACAAACCCACAAGACGAGTCAGCAACGTCGCAATGGCGCTCCGTATCGTATGAACTTCACAAAGTGGATCCCTCTCCACTGTGCCTGCCTGACGTGATGGTCACGAGGCCGGCAGGCACGCCTTGTTCCCACGCAGCCCGCTTCCCTCTTTATTTTTTATCCACGTCTCCAGAGGCTCCGGCAGATCGTGTTGTATACGGGTAAGTCTATCAGTGTTCTAATTATCCTCGCGATGACGTCAATCCGGCACACGACCGCCAGAGAGGCGGGGACCAGTACCTCTAGAGTACCCGGGAGCGCGGCGACCAGAGAACTCACCGGTGAAAGGGACGGCCGAGGCGAGGCGCAGGAGAGCGATGTCGTTCTGGAAGCGGTTCTGGCCGTAGTCTTTGTGCTTGATGACGCGCTCCACGTCCACGTCGACGGGCGGCAGCGCGCACACCTGCTCGCCGCTCTGGTTCTCGCAGTCGATCTCGGTCCTGGCGTCCTTCTCGCCGAGCCGCACCTGCACGCTGTTGGCACGGGGCTAAGGGTTACACCTGTGGACCTGGGGGCCGCTGACTCCATACGCGCTCGACGAGCTGCTTACGGGACGAGGCCGGTGTTCTCGTTGATGCAGTGCGCCGCGGTGAGCACGTAGCGCTCGCTGATGAGGCTGCCGCCACAGCTGTAGTCCAGCCGGCCCGAGTACTCGTCCCCTGCAGCAGAGGAGAGGGTGAAGGTGGATTTAGTCTCGTGAGGACCGAGGACTGAAGACGCGTAGTTGTCAACTGTTTTGCTGCAAATAATCGTAATTTTGGCCTAGTTGCAGCAAAACAGTTGACAACTACGCGTCTTCAGTCCTCAGTCCTCACGAGACTAAATCCACCTTGACGCGGTCAGCTATGCGAGGAGGTACCACCACGGCGGGCGCACAGCGGACACTTACGGCGGTAGCCCAGGCGCGCCATCCAGGGCAGCTCGTTGACGTGCGCCTCCATGCCGCCAATGATGCGGTCGGCCAGCACGGGGCCGCACTGGCTGAGCGGCAGCAGGCGGAGGTTGTTGAGGGCGGCGGTCGTCATGGCGGGGGCGCTGCCGCCGGGCCGCGGCCGGCCGCCGCCCGCCACGCCCGTCGGGCAGCACACCTTGGGGTGGATGCTCATGAAGCCGCAGTGCGCCATCTGCAGCATCTGGACCTCCTCCTTGCTGGGGCGCTTGCCGCGCTGCGCCAGCCCGGACAGCGCCGGGCAGTCCTTGAGCGGCTTGCAGACGGCGCCCCCGTCGCACGGCCGGTCACCCGCCGCGGGCAGGCCTCCTGCGGGGTGAGCACCCGAATCAGTCCCGTCGCTTGGAACAATCGTGCAATGATTCAATCAGACTGACGGTCTCCATACTCACCGCTGGGCGGCCTCTCCCATTGCGCGCAGGCAACTGCAAAGAGAAGATAGGGGAGTTCGGTTAGTGTTGCCTGCGCCTTGCGCCCGCCCCCGGCCCCAGCCCCTGCATGGCCCTCAACCTTACCTTGGAGGAGCACGGCGGAGAGCACGATTCGTCGGAGCTTCATTTCTAGACCGCGGCGCAGCGCAGAATGCTGCAGACTGGCGTCTCCAGGAACCCGGGGCCCCCGCGCCGGGGGGCCGGCTGGGCTGCGGGGCCCCGGGGCCCCCCGCCCCGCATCCTTGGCATTGGCTTGCGAACGCCGGCCGGTGTAAACCATCCCTCTCCTCCCCCCGCCTCTCCCCAGCCGCACCAATCCGCTCGGGCCGCTCTCTGCTCACGTCCCTCCCACTCTGCTGCTCATCTCCATGGCAGGCTCCCCGCTCCCCCCGCCCCACTGGACGTCAAGTACATGGGACTTCCCTGCTCCATGTGTTATTCTCTTTTTCACAAAAATTGTGATCCCGCCTATACTTATAAATGATACATGATTGCCGTGCGCCGGCGCACCCGATCAAGGCTGCTCGCTGAGCGCGATTAGGAAGGACTTTTCAGTCTTTGTGACGCACTCGCGCCAATGGACCGGCTCGGTGTTGTTGGAAATGCGACGACTTTTAGCCCTCGGCTGATAGGGGATCATGGGCTAGAGCAGGAGTCCCGGCTAAGCGGCCCGCGGGCCACTTTGTTGGCATTCGCGCTCTCTCACTCTTTTGGTTTACACATAAGTCTGTCTCTCTCGCACTGACTGGGTTTGTCGTTATCCGTGACCCCTGGGCTAGAGGAGAGCGAGGCGCCTGCGAGACTCGGGATAGGCCACCACGCGGTACACGAGTGCACTGCAGGCGAGATGTTGCCTACCGATCAGGCGCTATGAGAGCTTGCGCTTGCGGAGACTGCAGAGACTGCGCTTGGCAGGTTCGTAACGGTGAAAGACCAAAGTACTTTGTAGTCTATCCCTTCGAAGGGCACGGGTATCGTACCCGACACACAGTTCTGTCTTCCGCGCTCCCAGAGCGCCCGCAAAAACCCTTCACTCGGCCAAAATTGGCATTTAAAAAAAATGTTTTTGTTCTCTTTTTATGTTTTTAAAGTTCAGGAACATTTAATTTGGTGTGTGTGTGTGTGTCAAGCCCCCGTCACGTCAGGTGGGCGTACGCTCGAGAGGAGCGCGTCACGTGTCGTCACTAAGTACGGAGCTGCTCACCGCGGCAGTGCGGTGAGCGGTGCGCACGCAAGCGCAAGGCGCGGCCCGCCTCTAATCACAAACCCGGCCGGTCGGGTCTACGGATCACCGCCTGCACGGGTTTACCCGTTGGCTACGCACTGCGGGTACAGAGAGAAGCGTGGGTAAAATACACCCCCCCCCTCTCCCCGTGCAGGGCGTTTCATGCAGCCTGCAGACCTCCACTGTTTGTCTCTCATGCAAAGTGTGTTATTCGACCTGATTTTTCGTTGCACTCATGAATGTAACGTTACTAAGCAAGACAATCAAGTCACGCGCAGGAAATTTTAGAAGTAGACGACCACCAACGAAAATTACAATAAAATACCAAGAATCTTTATTCCTCACTGTCGTGAAACTAATCAGTCATTACAGGCGCATATTGTCCAGGATCCAGGGCACGTAGTGGGCGACGCGCGTGAACACGGTGACGACGTCCTTGCCTTCACAGAAGGTCCCGAAGCCCACGATGCCTTCGAGTACTGAACGCCGCTTCTCGATGTCCCCGTCGTACCGCCTGGTGACGATGGTGAACGGGCCGCCGCCGAACCCCTCGCAGAAGTTCTGCCCCGGCTTGTTGCTTACGACGCACAACTGCAGGGCTTGTTTCAACTGGATCGTGGTTGAGATTTTAGAAAACGTCGCAACACAGTCGTCGTGCGGCATCTCCTTCAGCTCGATCTTGCGCAAGCGCCGCGGAACGCTCCTATCAGGTGCTGTGAACAAAATAAAGAGTATAATGAGAAAGGACAACGCGAAAGGTAGTCTCCGCACCTTTTTGGGCAGTCCCTGGCTTATGGCTGTATCAACCCGAAGGTGAAATTTTTCCGTTTTGACGACTAACATTGGCGATTGCTAAGTGCCCCGATTTGATCAAGATTGCCTATTACCAACCTGTCATGCCTGGCCTGGTCTGCCCTCACTATACAGGGTGGATCGTCAGCAATCTTGATCAAAACCGGATACTTGACAGTGAAGTCCCAGTTTCTCAATTCAAAGTTTGATACTGACCTTTCTCTCAAACATAAAAATGTGCTTGTTTTCAGTGACCTGAAATTGTGTGTTCCGCGAAATTGAATGGTGGTATTTTAAAGACTTACTGCTTCCATCCTCTTCGTGTTCCCCAGCCCAGCCAACAACGACCCTGTAGGGCGTTCTCTCCTCGAGAGCGTAGTCCGGCAGCGGCAGGCACACGGGCTGCACGGACTCGGAGAAGGCGACGGCCTCCTTGAGCCGCAGCAGCCCGATGTCGTTCCATTTGTCATTGGCCGAGTACTCGGGGTGCTGAATGGCCTCCTCCACCCCCACTTCAATCACGGGGGGTGCACAGTATCGAATGTCATCGCCGAACTTCTCGCAGTCCGGGTCGGTGGCCTCGTCGTGCTCGCCCAGGCGGACCACGTTCCTGTCGGGTCATTTGTGTGTTGTGTTAGGTAAGTGAACAGCTTAGGACCTGTGTGGCACCAAATACCATGGTACAAAGACCTACACCGTATTACCACGCCAGTCCTTGACGCAGTACGCCGCTGTGACGACGTAGCGGGCGGAAATGAGGGCACCCTCGCACTGGAACTCAGTGGGCTCGGAACCTATAAAGAAATTTAGAAAATTAGTTCGGTGTTGCAAAAAAATAAATTGTTGACAATGTGTTTTAGTTTTATTATTGAACCTTTTTTAAAGCCGAGGTTCACGGTCCAGGGAAACTCTTCGACGGCCGTCCAGAGGCGCCCGCTGAGGGTCGTGTCCGTGGTGTTGACGGGGCCACAGCTCTCGGGCAACACTGGACAGCACACCTAGAAAATCACGACAACAGTCAGATTGGACCATCGGCCTCGTTCTTTCTTATGATTATACTGTACAACATGCAGGCGTGCGCACATAAAAAAGTCAGAACACACAAATTAGTTAATTTATGGCTGGACAACCCAAACTTTTCTAAAAATTGGTTGCCAGAGACAAGGATTAGTTAATTGCCTTAGCAAACCTAAATGAATAGCAAATAGTGGCAAATAGTGTCGTGATCTTACCCAGGGCACCCTGGGCTGCTCAAGGGTTTCCCACCCGCATAGGGCGTCCTTTAGACGAGTCTTCTGCTCCCGGCTAGGCGCGCGGATCATGTCGGCCAGCACTTTGCACTTTCCAATGTGAACACAAAACTCATGGGCCGCACATGCTCGCACGAGGTGGGCTGTAAAAATGCATTGTTAATTGATACGATTTACCATTTGTTCCACAGTGGTGGGGTGGATCCTGCGAACAGTTTTGGTATCGGCAATTTTCTCCCTCGCGTTTTTCTCTCCTACTCCTTCCTCTTTTGCTTTGCTCTCCTCCTCCTGAGGATGAGGGAGAGGGGCAATTGCCCCCCCCCCCCTCTCCCCGGATCCGTGCCTGAACAGGGGTCGGTGGCCGACACCCTCACATCACAGTCAAACATTGAACCAAGTCACAACCGGTTGGATGTAAACTCTTACCAGCTTGTACCTCAACCACGCCAACCGCGGCTGCGGCTCCCAGCAGAAGCCACAGACTCAGGTGCTCGTATCCTCGCATGGCGTCCCTCTCGCACAAGCAGCTGGCCCCCAACTGAGCGTGGACGGCGCGAAACTTCGGAGAGGTGGGCGAGACGGTGTGGGGGGGAGGAGGCAATGCCGGGATGCAAACAGGTTCCTCTTCCATCCTTATTGCGGGTAAGCGTTTGTTGACAACGCGTAATAATGTTTTACAAGAATATGCTCCGATCATAATTAATAATTAATACTATTCCATCCACAGAGATAAATTGTGAGTATACTTGGCTAAAGAAAGGGGAATTGTGAATTGTCGTAATTTTATCGAGTTTAACACATAGGCGTCGATCAGAAAATGTTTTATTATTTCGAAAAAGAAATCATGATGTACACGAGCTTGGAACTGTCTTTCTCCGAGGTACGAGTACGGACAGCCAACTGCAGGACGACCCGACCCCGACCCGCTCTCGGCTCACGGCCGCAGCTGGCTCATGATCCAGGGCATGTAGTACGTCACGCGCGTGAAGACGGCGGGCACGCCGCTGGCGGTGCACTCGGCGGGGCCGAAGGACACGACGCCCCAGAGCACGGCGCGCACCCTGTGCTCGGCCAGGGGCATGGCGCCGGTGAGCGGCCCGCCTGTGTCCCCGGAGCACACGTCCCGCCCGTCCCTGCCGATGCCGCACATCTGGCGCGCCTCGTCGATCCGGTCCGGGAGCTCGCTGTACTTCGCAGCGCACTCCGAGTGGTTGGTCGTCCGGAGCTCCAGCTTGAACAGGATGTTCTGTTCACTGTCTGGGGGTCGTGACAACAATGAGTGTCGGTCGGACTACATATGTATGATGAGTATGATGCAAAATGAAAAACACTCACCACTGCCGCCCTTGCCGATTCGTCCCCACCCCGTCAACTCGAGGCGGTACGCGCGCCGCCTCCTTGGCAGCGCGTCCTCGGGGTCCTGGCCGGCCGGCAGGTGCGCGGGCAGGCACACGGGCGCCACGGCGTCGGTCAAAGCGACGGGCCGGGCGAGGCGCACCAGCGCGATGTCATTCCGTCGCCCGCCACTCACGTACTCGGGGTGGGCGACGGCCTCCTCCACGTCCACGTCGACCACGGGAGGCGCACATATGTCACCGCCGCCGATACAGTTGCAGTCCAAGTCTGAGGTGAGGTCGTGCTCGCCCAGGCGCACGGTCACCCTGCAGCAGAGCGGGGAGTCAGTGGAGCCCCTGGCGGACGGTGGGTAGGCGGCCAGCCCAGCCCCCGCGCCCAGCGGCCGGGCATATGCGCGGCCCTTCGGGCGCCAAGGTCCTGGAGGCGGCCTGGAGGTGGAGGGCAATGACTCACGGAGGGTTGGGCTGGGTGCAGCGCGCCGCCGTGAGCACGTAGCGCCTGGAGATGAGCGCGCCGCCGCACTCGAAGGCGGTGCCGGCGCCGGCGCCGCGGCGGTAACCCAGTCGGGCGACCCAGGGGACCTCCATGACCTCAGCCAGGTTGCCGCTGATCGGCCCCGTCTTCTTCTCGTGCGGCCCGCACTCGACATCGGTGGGCAGCAAGCCGTGGTGGTGTCCTGCTTCAGGACGGGAGGGGTTCAAAGAGCCGTCGACCCCGAGGCAAGGCCCGGGGCTCAACGTCTCCTAAATCTTTTGATCTGACGAGGCTCGCACGATCGTTTGTTCAAAGCGTTTTGTGTGTGTGTTGTTTTGTGGGGGAAGTTAAGTACACGCAAAGAAGAGAGTTTGGTAAGAAAATGTTTTCTTGTAACCATAATTGTTATTGAAATATAATTGCAAAATCTCTATTTGCTACATTGGTGCCAGCAAACATTATGTTGCTGAAACAAAATGTTTGCTGGTTGAGCTATTTTTTGGACTCAACAGCAAACAGAAACAAAATAACAAACCTTGTTTAAAGCTGTTTTAGCAAACGATCTTTTCCTCGTGTGTTTTGGATTGCCTACCACCAGGTGGGTTAGGATAGTTTCAATATCTCAATCAAGAATCCATCAGAAAGCAGATGGTACACATGTAGGGTTGTATACCAATTCTCTCCCTTTTGGGGGATGAACCTGAAAGTAAGTCCGTCAGTCGCCGTGACGAAACTGCAAAGGTCAGTCTATACAAGATTTCAGTTTCTGGTAGGTCGTTAACATGTTGTCTGCGGTGCATGCGTGTACTGCAGGGTGGCCTACGCCGACTCTCGGGCCCCCGATCTCCCGTAATTTAACGTATGAATACTAGAGAAACGGATGTACTTTCTGGGCGGTCCCTTTGAGTTTAGGACTGAATGATCCTCCGACGATTTATAGACAAAAACATTTTACATTCAGCAGGCGTCCTCTTTGAATCAGAAGCAAGAAATATGTTTTCATCGGATTTCGAGCATGCTCTGATTGCCTCTTATGTATGGAAATTTGCGAATTTGCTTTTTCCATTGCTTACCTTGTTTTGTACCCCAAACCAGAGCCGAGGACGAAAGAAGGGCTGCTAACAGCAAGAAGCACTCGTTCTCTCGCATGTCTGGTGCGCTCTTCCCGCGTGAGATGCTGCTTCAGGACTGAGCGCCCGGTCCGGGGGAGGGGGCGGTTGAGGCGGCAGCAAGGCGTGGAGGGGGGCCAGGAAGAGGTGGTTGTGGTGGAGATCCGACGACAAAGTGATTAGGGGTCATCCAGAAAGTACGTCTTTCATTCGCACGTTCAGAACCTGCTGCAAGCTCTCGTGGCGCCTGACAGGTAGGCAACATCTCTCCTGCGGTGCACGCGTGTACTGTGGGGCGGCCTAACCTGAGTCTTGCAGGCGCTGAACTCCAGTAATCTACAGAATGGATCTGAGAAAAACGGACATAAGTACTGTGCCATCCAGGTTCATTGCGTCGACATGTGACTCGACTCGGCGCTGGAACTGGAACCAACCGGGATTCGAATCCCGTCATATGAGCGATTCCCTCTTCCGGACACACTTCCGGTTCAAGATAATTTGACCCGCACAAAAAGATCAGAAGGTCACCGTGGCCTGTATGGTGTGTCAATGCAGTTTAACCAAGTACAAACTTCAACAACTCGCACGGGGCGCACCTCCGGTTGCGGGTCCCTTAAATGAGTAGTGCCCGGTGTACGTCAGAGAAATAGGCTGGACCCTGCAAATCGGAGTAATGCAATGCCCTTCGGCACATCGGTAGTTAGGACCTAAATGAAGGTTTTTGCCCGAAGGAACAAAAATTTTTGCCCTTAGGAAAAATTTTACAAGGGGTTAAAATTAACATGGCGCCTTACGGGGTTTTCGGGTAGGCAACCCGCTGTGCTCACCCGGCTATTTCGCGCTCCTCCCGTCGATTGTAGGCGAAAATGAGCACTTCCAGTTGGAATATCTTAACCAAAATTACAGGGAAGGT